AACCAGTTGCGTGATAGTATGATATGTAACAAGTGTTATAAACGTCTTTTTAGTAACGAGTATTTTAAGCACGAGCGCAGCAGAGCGGAGCGCGTGTTTAATAAACGAGTGTCTAGAAGAGTTTATAAACGCGTTACATACTATGATTTTTCTACGAACTCCGAAAATCACATTAACATACCTGCAATTCCTGGTAACCTACAAAATAATTCGGAAGGAAAGGGAATTGATAACATGATACATGCAACCTGCATGCAACCAGCGAGACACCTATAAGAGTGATATTGGTTGTAGATGTGTCCAGTCCATTGCTTAAACCTTTGTTTCACGTTTATTGTCATGCTTAGCGCAGAATAAATTAATTGTTCTCAAAGATGGATGCTTCATTTTTACACTTCTTGGAGATATGCAAGTACCACAAGTACCAGAACATTCTCTTCGATTTCACTCTCGTCTACTTTTCGCATATATTTTTAATGAAGAATTCTGATACAAACGAATATTGTTTGAATAATTCTGATACAAAATTCGAAAATAACAGTTGACAGGCCAGACATGTCTCAAATTACTGAAGCTGTGTTTAATGAACTGCGTTGCCATGGTAATGTGTTTAAGAAATCGTGTTGCCATGGTAACGTGTTTAATATTTTGAATAAATCACAGATCGGCAATCCGTTATTAATCGATCATTACGTATCCGTACGCTAAATGCCCTTTTAGTTACGTGAGTAGAAAAAGTGAATTATTACATACTGATTATGATGTGTTCATTTCAACAACATTTATGTGATTGAAATATGTATGGACAATGAGAATATATAGTGCGTTTTGTGCTACTTCTTCGATATCACTTGGGGCAATCTGAACTTCAATCAGCCATTTTTCACTAATGAAGATATCAAATGAAACTATTTCGTGAATTTCGTCGCAGGTTAGTGACTATATTATTATTCTACGGATACTTCAAAGTGACGGACGAAGTCAAATTGCCTACTAAATTTTGTATATAATCGGTAGAACCCATGTAGGACTGGTCATCATTTTTGTTCAAGCGAATTTTTATATCAAAAATATATAAAAAATATTGTACATAAATGTCCCCCTCCTCTAGCTCAGTTATCTTTGAACCGACTTCAAAATTTGAAATCTCATCATGAATGATTTTCGATAAAGTTTTTTTCTGCTACATCAGAAAATACAGGGTGCTCTGAACAAACGATCTACAGGGTACTATTTGATTTTTTTAAATGGAACACCCTATTTTTTATTTTTTTTTCAGATTTACCCTGAAGAGCTGATTTGATCAATGCATCACACTTGGGGTCTAGCGAAAATGATTACAGAGATATAGGGTGTTCAAAATCGAGATTTATCAACTTTAGGATTTTTTTGTGACGAAACTATTTATTATCGGTCAAAACGGCTTTCATGTCCGTGCCTTAACTTTTGATTTACTATCTACTGACATTTAATAATTGGAACAGATACAGGGTGATCAGGATTCTGAATCTTGAACCACCCTGTAAATGTTCCAATTAAATGTCAGTAGATAGTAAATTAAAAGTTGAGATGGGGGCATAAAACCCGTTTCGACCAATAATGAATAGTTTCAACACAAAAAAATCCTAAAGTTGAAAAATCTCGATTTTGAACACCCTATATATCTCTGTAATCATTCCCGCTAGACCCCAAGTGTGATGTATTGATGAAATCAGCTCTTCAGGAAGAATCTAAAATTCCAATGAAATACAGGGTGTTCCGTTAGAAAAAATCAAGTAGTACTCTGTAGATCGTTTGTTCCGAGCACCCTGTATTTTCTGATGCTACGGGTAAAAAATTTCTGAAAAATAATTTCAGATTATTTTTCGAATTTTCAAATCGGTTCAGAAATGAGTGAGCTAGAGGGGGGGGGACATTAATGGTGAATCACCCTGTACGTAACACGTTAGGAAACGCTTCAATTTGTGTAACGATCAGTTAGGTGAATAACTATTGGGACACCCTTCAAGTTTCACAAGGGTGCTATCATTGTATTTACCATTGTATACGTATAGACTATCGTGTTACTCACCCACAACTGTTAGCAGCACGTTATCCAGAAGAAACGAAAGATAAACAATTACGAAAAACACAAAATTCTCCTTCAAAAGCAAAAGCAGGTTCTGCATGTCGCTTGGTTTCATCTCGCATCTATTCGCGACTGAATATCCTTTCAAACAGGATCCAGGAAGTAGCATCTGGACCTGTTGGATTCTATTATCGTGCTGAAGGGATAGTAAATTGCGGTTAAGGATGGCTTTCAATTGGAAATTTGCAGCTTCATTGGTTATTCGTTACAGGATTTTGTTATCGTCAGAACACAGGGATGTGCTGGCGGCATTTTAGGATTTTTGATTTATTATCGATGTTGGTAGGTAGTATACAAGGTGACATCACAATGAAAACATATAATTCAAATGCTAAGAAGCCTGGAGTATACGATCGGATGTCACCCTATAAAATTAAGGCATCTATACTGTAGTGATTCTGACGTTAACTCCGATTCAATCTGTTTGATTGTCTTGAAGTGATATACTTGTTTATTTATTATTTTCGTTACTGCTCTCCAGTTGAAATTCCTTGGTAGTCAGAAGATTCAGAAAAATTACGATATACACTGTGTCCCAAATTCGATCCTCAGCAAATTCAATCGTGATTCATAATCGAGTGTGTTAGACGAAGACAAATCAATAAGGAAATCACTGGGTTAAACAGAGATGAGTAATCTCCATAACATTTATAAACATCATTTTCACTGAAGTAAACATTTTATGCATTGTTTTGGTACACTATTATATCGAGGAGACCGAAGACTACCCAAAAAAATAAAGTTGATGATGGCCGTTCCGAGAAGGAACGTCGGATTTCCAATTCGACAATTCCGTTTTGTAAAGGAGAAGAAGTGACAATCATGAAGTGATATTCATTTTGAAATATCTCTTCAATAAAAACGATTCTGCATATTTTTTTTTCTCTAGATATCATCGGAAATAATGAGGATTTTTTCAATTTCGAAGCATCATTTTCTTGAGCATGAAATTGCCCTAATTTGACCTACTCTATATCTCTCATGGTTACTGAGATCCTCATGTTTACATGGGCGCCGCCACTTGAGGGATAGGGAGACGGCCGCCTCCTCCCGGAATTTAGCCTTTTTAGATTTAGATTAGATTGTTTGATTTATATTAGTGTCACCTATATAAAAGCATATTGCTAGGTTTACATGAATTTTAATTGATTTACCAGAAAGTTTCAATTTTTGTTAACAGTATATTTACCTATAGGATTAGGTTTCTTATACTTACGAAATATTATGTTTTCTTTAGTTACTCCATTATATACTTGATTTGTGTCTTTCAGCCATCATGTTACCTTTATTTTTGTGATATTTTTGTCCTCTTGTTGTTTTCGATATTTAGTTTTCGATATTTACGAGCATAACTAGCTCTAGAACCTTCCATTATTCACTCCTTTTTAAGGCGTAAAATGTGTTTTCACTACCAGGGTAGTTTTCGTCATTTTATGAACCAATGGCCAATAGAGACATAGCAATCTCTGATATAATTAACCCGAATTCACTGTTCTCATCCCTTACACTCCCGAGAATAATTTGAACAGTATAGCCGGAATTTCTCTAGCAGGTGTGACTCAGAGTAATCCCAGGAACTTCCTGAATCTCTTTCTAATTTTTTCAGGATGATGTAATATTATTTTCAGGATCATCACAATCGTGGTATTTGGGAGTGAAATGGGATTTCAACTCAGAATGAAGAAAACGCTAATCATGGAGAAATATGCATTCATTGTTTATAGTTTGTTATGAAAAGTGACGCAACAATTATTTTCATTGTTCAAGTACAGGCATAGGCATACATTGCATTTTTAAAATCCCGTCCTTGAACGGCTACCGCAACTTTCCAGTCAGCAAGTCCATGGTGATTTCGGAGAATCAATGACAGGCCAGTGGTCAATTTCATCATATCGTTTGTAATTTGTTGAAATAGAAGCTTCTTCATTTGCAAAAAGATCGGTTGGTTTATTGGCATTTTCATCCACCTACTCAACAATATTCCTCCGGCACTTTTACGTGTTCATGTGCATTCGACTTCCACTGGTCATCTATATCGGAATCGATTTCCAGATCTGCTCCTATCTGATCCAACAAATCGTAAATTTCATCTTGATCTTTTTGCAATTCAAAATTCTTGGAATGGAGGACATTTTTCACACACTGGAATGTTTAAATCAAAATGATAATTGATCCGTAGCGGTACGCTTCCGGAGCACACAAATGTGATGGTACACAAATATGTCCTGAAATCTGATCCCGAAAAAAATTTTGCAAACAGACACTATGAACCACCATGTTGAACCATGTTTTCATTTGCCATTCAATGCATAAAATCATACCCCTCAGCTGAAGGCTCCGGATTTAATCTTGGTCCCTGGGTAATACTGATATTCTTCACTACCTTGGTGTATAAATAACTATTAATGTACTAAAATATGCGGCGCAGCGTAAAAATTACCACAAGCCAGACGGTCACAGCCTGCAGCTGAAAATACAGGAGATTCTTTCGGATTCAGATGAAAATCTTTCTTCATTTCATTTCTGTTATTTGATATATATCCGGTATTTTATTATTTATATAAATATCGTGGTATTTTGGAACCCTGATTGACGGCAATGCTATCAATTTAAAAAACGGCCCTCCACCTGAATTTATTTCTGGCGGCACTCATGCATCCATACTAATATCGTCTGAACATAGTCATTTTTGATATATCACTGATAGGTGAGTGTACCTATAAGTGAATATCCTGATAGCAAATCATATTTTAGTAGCTACAGAAATTCTATAAAAATGCATTGTTCATAAATAATTGTTTTTATTTCGATTTCGTTTTGTTATAAAACACTAACTCATTACAACATAATTCTATTCACACTGTGTCTTTTTCTTAGTATTATGTGAAACCTATTTGAAAACCTACATTTGGACGGAATATCTGAGTTGAGATAAACTGAAGAGTCTAAACAATTTGTTGAATCTATCGTTGCTATATGATTTTCGGAAATGCAAAGAATAATAATTGCCTATGTACACAAAGCTGTTGTAGTATTTCTGGCCACTAATACCACTGATAACTGGCACCTACCTGAGTACATTTCTTCATAGGTGCAATTATTTTTTCAAATAGTGAATTGAATACTGCCCTGAAATACTTTGACTCGAATAATTTACTGATAGTATTATAGATGATATGAAGGGATTGTAACTTTCTAATTTGTGTCTAGTTTTAACAATGTATTTTGCACACTTTCAATACCCAATCGGAGTCACATAAATATATATAGGTAATTAAATTGGGGAAGTATATCTGATGTTTTATAATGAAAATATTTCATCCAAGATCGATGAAACATGCTGTATACATTTATCACTATCAAACTTGACAAGTTGAAGACTGTATCCCACTATAAACCTCTCTCTTCGAGACGATGAATATCTGAAATCATAGCTGAAATCAGAAGTTCCTGAATATTGTCAAAGATCCCGATTAAAATTTAGTGACCTTATCAGTGCATGGCGGTGTATCACAACGGAAATCAAACTCTTCATCATCTGGCAACGCTGGACAAGAGTACAGGTCCGGGTGCTGCATAGACGTAGCTGTAATTCCAGCCCTGGCAACAGTCACTGCGTTTATTGCCGCTACATTGACACAATCGTAAATAGGCTGAAAAAATTTGAACATCAATCCACATTGACAAAAATGTATAAGATGCCACTCCAGCGGCTTGAAAAATACATATACAGATTATTTAACAATAGACGAGAACACCAATTTCTAGAAATGAATCTATTACATTCATTACATCTGAAGTTTTCCTAAGATATTTTCACAAAGGAATGCTCCGGTATAACAAGATGGAAAACCATCAAAGAAACTGACGTCACAAGTGCTCATAACGCGCGCATCGTCTATAACGGGTACAGTACTAAACCTCAAATCAATTATGAGACAATCGAATATTGGAAGATCGGATGTTCTTTTATCATGTTATTCAACTCCTTCAGACTTCAACAAATGTTCCAAAAATTGGTATTACATCAATATTAATTCTTGAGTATGCTCTTGAAAATATGACATTGAATCCATATCAATTTGTATTTGAGTTGCTAGAACACATCATTGGCAAACTGTGAAATTAAAAAATATCCGAATATAACCTTCTTATTTCTAACTCGGTTGTCTCTAGATGTGCTCTAATCATTCACGGTGTGGTACAAATCAGAATGATACTTAATTAACCATAATACCCAAGTAGGCTCATTTCTGTATCTATCAATCTGTAGATATAGTAGATAGACAAATAGTAATTCGAATATAAAAAATAGCTATACGGCTTACATCATGATTTCAATTTCTAAATCATCATACCGGGACACGGTGTATATACTCACATGGTTATTAGCTCGATATATGTCCATAGTACTAGTAGCAGTGGCCATGGAAGGCAGGGTGCTAGCAATTTTATCCCTTGCAGCAGCTATAGTCATCAAGTAAGTTCTTGGGATGAATACTGTACCAAGAAATATGCCTGCTGTGCCCACCAAACCAAAACACAGCATAGGGTCCCTCCATTCATCCTCCAGAAGGGTATACAATGGTAACCAAACACTCCATAAACACGTAGTCAGTATGATTCCAATAGTAAAATATTTTCCCTCACGGTAGTTCCTTTGACATTTGTAGATTAGTGGACAAAGGCATAGTAGAAGTAAAAGTAGCATCACATTATAGCTCATGAGGTATACGAAAGAACCGTTCCGGAATATTTCGTGGCATCTACCAATGACTTGGAGGCTGAGAGCTGCTTGCACCCCAAAAATGAACAAGCAGAGGAAGGACTGAACAGGCCCAGCAATGTGTGACATGAACCCGATTTCCTTGGATGCTGTCGCTAGAAGAATACATCTTGAAAGCAAGAGTGAGAAGACAAAAGCATACCCGAGAGTTACAGCCAGAGGTTTTGCTAAACAGAAGGGAATTCTCGAAGTAATATTATGCTCGAGACTAAATGGTAGTACTGAGCAGAAAAGAATCATTATGGCTAGTAGAAGAGCTAATGTTAAGACAGGGTTGCCTTCAAGGATGTCTTTTCTGTAGATGCAGACAAGAAGGAAGATGAGGATAGATATGCAGAATACTACGCCAAGAAGTGACAGGGAGAGAAATGCATACACCCATGATTCAGAGCGGAAGTTTATATCTAGAGAATCATCGAGGATATACCTGGGTTTGGCATTGTAGCTCACGCATTTCCTCTCAGTATTCCTAGTCATATTGTTAATCTCGAAATTTCGAGTTGAGCTTATGTTGTGGTCAAAAATACTATAAGAGAATATTTTGGTCATTGGTTGGGAGAAAGTGTTGTTTGAGATGATCATGATGGGGTTCATAGTGTCATTCTCAACTTTATAGATATTATAAACGAAACTTTGCCTCAGTGGTTCGATCCTCAAACTTTCCATGATACCACTTGCTGTCAGGAAGACTGAGTGATATTTTTTGTGGAACCTACTCCTCAAGCAATTTATTTTATAAATTGTTTCATTACAATTGTCTGTAATGAATTTCTCAATATTTTTTGTATAGGCTAGTATGGGCTTAGCTACTTCGAAGAGTATGGGAGTTGGTAAAATGTTTTCTGATATGCTGATAGCTTTGGTTGGTGTTACGTGTGGTGGGATTATGACATAACTGTTCAGTGGCAAATCTGAAAAATGAATAAATAATATACCATTCTAGGTGTTGTTGAAAAAAATCACCTGTTGGCATAGATCCATCTAATGGTACAAATAAAGCTTCTTGATCATCAGTCCATTGGAATTCTTGATTCTTTAAAAATTGGTAGATATGGTTCAATGTACCAAAAAACACAATTGGGGATGAGATGTTCATCGTTTGTGGACAGGTGTCTCTGAAAAATGAAGAAGATACATTCAGACAGCACTTAGATAATAATGAATAGTTTTTATGGACTACGCGCATCGCTCTAACATCTCAAGTATGGCGCAAGCTTTTTTATATGTATATGGCGCAAGTCGTTTGATATTCGAACTGAAGCAGGTTCGAACGTGGTAAGTATACTAGATTATACACACTCTAGATGGACACCGTATGCCGTAAGTATGAGAATGGGTATAACGCTCAGTTGGGATGTAACATCATGCACAGTCGATTAGCCGCTAGCACAGCAGCCCAGCCATATACGTATTAATAATCAATAAGGATAATCTCTATCTGTTTCCATAGCGAAACATGAAGCCGATTTTTGAAGACAAATGACTATCTATAAGAAAAAGTGAGATACGATCAGACACATACTGCTTTGATTGAAAGGCTAGTAAACGTCATTGTCCACCGAAACGCATGTCTTTGATGACTACTATAATAGCGCATGGCGCATGCGTATCATGCCACCAAATCCTTATGGATATTCATTTGTTTCATATTTTTGGCTTCATCCTGGCACCCGTTATGATCCGTATTGTTTATTAATACGTATATGAGCCTAGCATGATATAGGTCCCAATGGAGCGTTGCCAATTTTGACTCAGTTATTGTATATCTAGCTTGAGTGTATAATCTTTGGTATACTTGGTTGGGTGGCTGTTCAAAGAATAGCAGGGTACATATCTGCAGCGTAATAGCATATAATAATATCATAGTTCGCTCCCAGTGAAACAGTGAGCAAAAGTGATTATAATTAAGAGGACTAACTCAAAGTCTCACTCCAAGTAAATTTTAATAAAATACGATACGTGCTACATGTTTCGACTCCTAGGAGTCATCATCAGGCTTGCTAGGTAGGAGGAGAAAAAAAAACTAAAATTAATAACATGGTTCACAAGGGTTTTAGGGCCCAAATCATTTTAAAAAACATTTTTGAATTTGAGTTTTTTGAACCCCCAGATAAACATTTCTCCCGAGATGCTTCTTTTTTGTATCGAAAAACTATCATAGTGTAAAGCAAATGGCGCGAGTTTGAAGTAAACAAACCATCAGACCACTCAAAGTAGTTCGATGGAAATGTTTATCTGGGGGTTCAGAAAAACCAAATTCAAAAATGTTTTTCAAAATGATTTTGGGCCTAAAACCCTTGTGAACCATGTTATTAATTTTAGTTTTCTTTTCTCCTTCACCTAGCAAGCCTGATGATGACTCCTAGGAGTCGAAACATGTAGCACGTATCGTATTTTATTAAAATTCACTTGGAGTGAGACTTTGAGTTTGTTCTCTTAATTATCTCATCACCTCCAATTTGAGCATGGACTACTAACAGAAAAGTGATTATGGTAAGCGTTCTTTAGGCAATGGATGTAGGCTCCATAAAGATGCCTTGCTTTGGTTGAAACTCTGGAGGATTCGGCAAAATTTCTGGCTGGAGGAGTTGCAAGAAAATAACGAAGTAAGATAAGCCAAAAAAAATATCCAGTACCTATCAAATTTCACCTCGATTACCTACTTCCATGAATACCCACTTAGGAAAAATAGGCATCGTTTCAAATACAGTGTGACCCACTTCTAATGGAAACACCCCTGTATCTTACGTAATCGTTGGGTAAGGATCCTGGAATTGGCTGGAGCGAGAGATGTACCGAAAATGACCAAGTAGGGTCATCTTCAGTGATATACACTGCTTTCCAACAGCCATAGAACCACACCAATTTCCGGAAAATGATATTAGGAGTCAAAATAGGTTGAAAATCACTTCGGAATTCGGCCCAATTCATTAACGATTCATAGTTTTCCTAGATATTTTCAATTCAGAAAAATTAAATGTTGTCTCACTTGTCATGAAAGCACCCCCGTAGCTCACGTAATTATTGAAGTAGGGCTCTGAAATTTGCAGGAGGATGGGAAAGTCCAAAGATAAAACCAATTACGTAAGATACGGGGGTGCTTCCGTGAAAAGTGCGACAAAATTTAATTTTTCAGAACTGAAAATTGTGCAGAAAAAATATGAATAGTTAGTGAATTGGGCGTCCTGATTCCGAGATACAGGGTGATCAAAATCCTGATTCTTGAAGCACCCTATATTTTTTCCAATTGAATTCCAATAGATAGTGGATCAAAAGTTAAGATAGGGAATAGTTTCGACACAAAAAATCCTAAAATTGAAAAATCTCGATTTTGAACACTCTATATCTCTGTAATCATTCTTGCTAGACCCCAAGTACATTGATGAAATCAGCTCTTCAGGAAGAATCTGAAAATGCAATAAAATACAGGGTGTTCCATCTGAAATGACAAAGTTGCTAGTTGTTTATGATAGAAGTGGCAGCTCTGTATCGATGAAAATATTTTAGACGGATAAAAAATGTTCAATTATCAAAGCATATCAATTTTCAGAATGTTCTGTCTTTTCGTTCTCCAGATACTTCTAATAGGCCATCCACCGTGATCACCCTGTAGAAGATTTTCACAAAAATAAGTTATATTTGTAAATAATCAGTTTAGAAATCAGCTGCGTAATAATTACTTGGCCGCTCCGTTAAAAATATTCTTGAAGCTTGAAAACACCCCACTATACAGGGTGTTGTTCTTGAAATGGATATAAGAAATTGACAGTATTTCTTGGAGACCGACTCGGATTCTGATTTTCACCGATATTTACTGTTTCAATGGATAATTCTAGTGAAATTGACTATACCAAGTGTATGTAGACAGATTAAGCTGAGTGATTGGAAAGTTTTGACCACATGAAGATTATGTAAAAATTGAAATATCGTTCTGCATGTATATCAAAAGGCAGGTATTGTATGTAATGTATGTACATGTGAATCCAGAATGTAACCTTATAAAGCTTGTTTATCTCTATCAGGTATGTTTGGATTGGTCATAGACATCAGTTTTTTCATCTTTTGAATCGCATAGAAAGGAATCCCTATTATGTTTGAAGAACTGGAGGAACATTGTGCGTACCTACCTATAGGGAGGATACGGAGAGAAGTTGGGTATAATACTGCAATGTTTTTTTAACTCTTGGAGATTTTGAGTTCTTGAAAATAGCGGGGTGTGAAGAATCACGAGAACAAGTTATTAGTAGGTACCTACACACTAAGTAAGTCATGAATGTACCATTGAGTTAAGGTCATAGAGTAACTATTCTAGCATGAAAAACTAGCATGCTTCTTCAGACTCATAATTTTTCAACAAATTCAATTATAGTTATCATACTGATGCGTAATGCCGGAAGTAGCTGCTTCCTGTTATTGTTTTGCATAGAAAATACTTTCGCAAATATCGTAGAATGTAGATATGCTGCGGCTGCTTGATATGTTTGGTCAACTGAAAGATGCAGTATAGTTGGAAAAAGAGAAGAAATATAGTAGGAGTACCGGCTGCAAATTTCGACCATCATCTGATAACGAAATGTTACATGTGAATTATTTTATTTTTCACTTGTCCATTACTGCTTCAAAATGCCTTGACAACGGTTGCTATTAACAAACCCATAACGCCCGGGGCGTTACACCATCTGAATGAAAACCTACTAGGCGACCTAGTACGCGAGGAGATAGTTATTGCCTAACTAACTACCTTACTAGGCTGTCATCTATATAGAACGACAATGGTTACACAAATGTATTATAAGCAATAATCCACAACACTTGAGGAAACATTTTGAGACAATTGATTTTTCATTGCTAATTGGGAATATTACCAATACATAATTGAGAATTCATGACTTATTGAATAACTAATATTTCTGAAGTTCCCGACATATGCATCTCTTCTATGGTCTGCCCCTACTAACGAAATCGTTACGTCAGTTTTTACTCGCGGTAAATTTCTAGCCGTTTGAAAATTACCGTGGCAATATCGATGATTTCATCACCTCAGAAACGACCGAAGATTTCCAAAAGAATATGGAATTGAAAGAAATCTCAAATTATTGCCTTCGTCTTGTCCATATTTGTTTAAAAATCAGCTCTTGACGTTGAATTTATCCCTGACACAATGAAATGATGATTCATTTGAATGTTGCTAGGCAACACTTCTAGTACCTAGGAGCTGAAGTTGAAGTTCCACTCCTATATAGGAACTAAAAATGAGTGTAGCATTCTTATTTCAATATGATGTCAGTTTATACCTAATACTTGAAGCAAATGGAAACTATTCTACTTCATATAGGTACAGAACTATGGGTACCTAACTTGAGTTCAATTATTCAATGTTCAAAATAGAGGAATATGAATAGAAGCATATTCTATCTAGAGCAAAGGTGTGTATTTATTGTTTATTCCACTATTTTGCCGTACTTCTAATGATCGAATTCGGATTGATTAATTCCAATTCCTTGAATTACCTGTTCAGTATTGTAGAACTGTCGAGTTATTCTCAAAATCGATTTTCATTCGTCAACTTCTCAACCTTGTATCTCCAAAACTACCCTCTTGAAGACCTTAAAATTCTATCTGATTCTTCATCGAATCATCGAGCTCATCACTTATGAAGCGCTGTCGGTCGTTTTTTGCAGCACCCTGTATATCTGAATAGCTATGATGCATCATCTCAATGAAATACTAATTTCACACTTGAGTGATCGGGATAGTCATTGACATTGTAGGAATAGCAGAGCAGGAAGGGGCTTCAGAAACTGTACAGAAAAGAGGCATACATTCTTATTGTACTGTATTGTACACTTCCTGTATATTCGGAAACAATTTCCGCTTTGCTCTCCGATCCATTCCACTCACGTTTCCCAAACAGATTACTAGTCATCTTAGAACTAGTGCATTATTCGTGTACTTATACAGGGTGTTGCGTATAAAATATTAGATTTTCAAGTGTTAGGTTCTTGGGTGTGTTATGAGAAATAAACATATGGTGCTACCATTTTCCATTAATCAGTCGTTTTTTTACAAGAAAGTCAATTTGGGCATCTTATTCACTGTGCGGTATCTATGTTCCTCTCAAAGTTTCTATTTTTTCAAGCCACCGATGAAATAAGGATTGTTTTCAATTCAAAGAATCCTCTATTCAGTTTGATTATGGAAAACACATCACCTTCAACAATACATAGAACAACCGTATTCGAATTGATTAAGTTTCTATAGTTTCCAGTTTGTAGCTGAACAGAAGTATAGGTAATTCATGCAGAAAAAAAAATTTTTTTTTTCATTTTCTTCAGGTAACCTCGTTGGAAACTGTTCATTTTAGATCAGTTGGAGGTCTTGTTTTTCATCAACAAAACAAGAAGAGAAATACGAAAAATTGAACATGATGAAAATTTCATCACTGATGGCGCAAAAAAAAGAAAAAAGAAGCCACAACCCTCTTTGTCACGTCACGAGAATTTTTTGTTTTTGAAAAGAAAATCATATACCGAATTGGATTGTGAGAAAGTAAACCATCATATATTGGAGTTATTCCCAAATCAAGCTTGTACTTTTTCAACTTCAACATCCTGCATCTCTGAAAATAGAATCACTCGACGATCATTAGTTCATCATTAGTTCATATGTTTAGTTCTAATTCTTCATCAAATCACGAGAACTATCACCTGTGAAACGTTCTCATTCATATATATCAACACCCTGTATAGCGAGAGAAGATGCAAGGCAATAATGATTTGTCAGATCTGATGAAATTATATAAAATTTTTGCATTTTTTGTACATTTACTGATATTTTCAGATCAATTATAACATATGGAAGTCAGTTGCAATTATCATACATTAGGCTTCATAGATTATTGATGAGTAATAATTGGTTAATGGATGTAATTTTTTTTGTATTAATAGGTATGTATACTGCTCTCTCTATAGCTTTCTAATTATTCATCTCTATATCAATGTTGAATATAGTTAAATGTTCTTTTCTGATGCACTCTACAGAATGACGACCGTTAGCCTAGATGTAATAATAACATATTATTCCATTCATGAAACCAGAAAATATACAAGGTGTCCCGACTTTATTTTCAAACACATTCTCCCGAAAACGGGTGACATTATGAACGTTCCGAAAAAACTGGCTTAAATGCACAAAAATTAGTTATTCAAACTACCCCTCGATGAACCACCCCATAGCACATACCACTAACATATTATTATGGTATGTTCGGGTAGCTTAACAGCTTACGAATGATGTTCTATAGACGTACGAGTTTTGGTATAGTGTTGTTCGACATTATTCAAGGTGAACAACGAAGAGATGTGCTGACTGGGCATATGATAACGCTGTATCACACTCTCCACGAGTACGATAATGTCGAAACAACAACTATGAGCAACTACTGATAATACTCGAAGTCATCTCCACGCCATTTCAATATAATCAAACAGATAAAATTACTTTTGGGTATATGATAAATTGACATTCATCATACAGGGCGTGGAAAGAAATTCTTAATTAAGACTCTATCACAAATCTGATACATGTTTCGGACATATATATGTCCATCCTCAGCCTTATCAATTATCACTACAGTACAAAATGTTTTGGATGGGAATGAAAAAAAGGCAAGTTACATCTTATCTTGATGAAATGAAACAAAGATGGGTTTCATTTTAATAATGAAAACAAAAACGATCATTGTTTCATTTCATTGAGATAAGATGTAATTTGACCTTTCTCCCATTCTCACGTGAGCATAATTTCATCAATCCAAAATATTTTGTACTATTCACTTTCTTCCAGGATATGTAGTAATAATTGATTAGGCTGAGGATGGACATATATATGTCCGAAACATGTACCAAGTGATTTGATCTGATTAATTATATTAAAATGTCGTGGAGATGACTTCGAGTCTGAATAACATTGTCTAGTCTGGGAAAAACTGGATTAGAAATATTGGACATACACGAAACGATATATTATTATGCTATTGAGTTATTGATATGATATCATCTAGGGCGTATTCATGGAGAATGTAATAGTAATAAGTACATATCATTGTGTTTGTAAGCTAATAAGCTACTCAATAATGCCATAATAATCTGGTGGTGTAATTAAAAAAAAAGTTAGTGGTATGTGCTGAAAAGTGGTTTATCGAGAGGTAGTTTAAATGACTATTATTTGTGCAACACTCTTCCTCATTTGAGCCAGTTTTTTTCAGAACGATGATAATGTCACCCGTTTTCGAGAAAATGCGTGTAAATATAGTTGGAATACCCATACCACCTTGAATTCTTCAATGGTCATTGAGAAATTGCTGCTATTATCATTATAACAACTATGAGTATTTGATGAAGTTGATTTTTGGAATAGATATGTATCAAATCTCCGTAACTGTCGGGCAGAGCATATAAAATTTACTAATTTTAGTGTCGATTGAGCCATTATCGAGAGAATAACGTTGATTTGATAGACAATATTCTTTTTGCCCAAAAAAACAATTCAAGAAGATTATCCTACACCATCAGAAATAGTTATAATTGAAAAAACTATAACCTATTTCAGATCAACGGAGAAACTAGCTTGTCCTTTAAGGTACGCATTGGTTAGACAAAAAGAACGTTTGACGACTGCATTAACGAACATAATATGAGTTTTCGAGTGAAGAAAATAAATTCATCACATGCCAACCATTTTATATTAAAAGGAAATCAGAATTTTGGTGTCGATTCCGAAATTTTTCATGTAGACACTGAAGGAATATGTAAACTTGTAAATTTTACTTAACGATCGAGTGGACCTCAACAATTTATCGCTTCTGATTCAGTAGTGGATATTCAAATCACTCCTTCGAAATTAATTCGATCATTCAAAATCGGTCAAACTCTGTTAGTTTTGAAAGCCCATGTTTTGAGAAATACTAAAGTTGAATAAATAAAGTAAGGTATTTTCAGATTGCCCTCCGAAATGGTGAGATAATATTATATAAGGTATTCCATTCAAAATGCATACACTTTCTGCTGCTTCCTAAATATTTTTGCATTTGGTGAATGTATCTGTTGATTCGAGATGGAAGAAAATCTGCTGTAAGGCCATTTTTTGTTTGTTTTCCTGCTGTCAAAATATAAGAGTTATAGCGGGTGGTACTATAAAACTTGTCACCGGGTACGAGTATTTTACTCTGACTGTATAAATTTTTCATGTCAAATTAACATTGATGGATAAAAAAAGTATAGCCGTTTCAACCTCACCAATGTCGAGACATTGATGAAACGTGAACATTCAAATGTTTCATCGTTTCTCTTATAAATTGAACATTGATAAGCAGAAATATCTGAGCGTCTGAAAATTAATAAATTACTCCATCGCTACTCCACCCATACCACTTTGTAAAATGTAAACTATCATTTTACATTTGGCCAATCGTCATATTTTGATATCATAGGATTCTACCATTGCTCTGTGTATAGAATTCATCATAAAGAACTCTGTATCAGTGAGGATAATCATTGTTGGGTTAATATTTTATTATACGGGTACCTTTTTCACATAAGAACCTATTGTGCTAGGGAAACAATCGGTTAAGTTATCGACACTCCGAGTAAAACAGTATTGAAACTTACTCAAATATAATACATTCCGTGATACAAATATCCTCTCTTTTAGATTGTGCGTAGAACTCATTCATAATCTTTTCATCTGGTGCCACTACAGTTACATTGTCTATCCACCCTATAACACTCAGAAACTGAACAGAGGCCTTCACCAAATAATGACTGAACTTGGTGGTGGGTGTCGTCCAAATGTCCAGAACACTAGAAAACTTCAACACTTTTTCAGGCAGCTCCTTGTCATATATGATACCGATTAAGTAGTCGTCTTCTTGCATGTACAAATCGAAGATAGTTTTGTAGTAGTCACTTTCGGAGCAAATTTCATGTACACTGAGTCCCAGTTTTAGTGGTGCCAGAGTTTCCAGCAAATTTATACGATCTGTTGTAGAAACGGAACTGGCAATCAAAGATTGGATCCTGTAGGGATCGCTCGAATTCACACAGTTATCTAAGAGTAGCGCTATTTTCACATCGCCTTTTACTTCTGCACTTTTTTCACCGCTGGCGTTTTTGAATAAGATTATTGCAATTGTGACTAGAAATTGGTTATACATATTGCACATCGTTGAATTCTACATGTGACTGCGTTATTACCGACACTTTTTCCGTTCTTCAAGCTTCACCGCACAAAATTCAAACAAAACATATTTCCGCCGTGTTTGTTGGAAATACACTGTTTTACCCTACACTAGCGTGGCGTGAGTCAGAAAATTGCTAGGAAACAATCGATACAAACTTTTTAAGTTCAGGTACTAAGATGTGTGTATGGAAATAGTCAGATCGATTCGATATTGAAACTGGCGAAGCTCTATAAGGTTAAACTCGTTAGGGCTTAAGTATAAGAGAATTCATCAGACACCATCTAAAGGATTCACATTGCTCGTAATGCGATACTTTGGGAGTAATCATTTCAATGTAGGTACAGGTTTTGGATTGGGTATCTCATTCTGTTTCTGTTTAGTTCGCATGGGAATAATACGCAGCAACTTGTCAACATATAGGAATTAATTTACATGTATACCTATTATTGCTTTGAAAATCAGATAAGCACTTTACTACGACCTCAAAATAATGAATATTTCATGATTATATCATATCTACAATGTGACCAAGATAAAATTGCACAACATGGGTATTTAGGAAACGGTAGGAGATTATAGATGGAGCAAAAGTTGCACATTTCGAGGGTCATTTCAACAACACTCTAACATTTTTGGTTCAGATAATCGAAGGAAGTGAATTTTTAGCAAAAAATGCTGTTATATAATTGAAGAAAGATTTAAAATACTTTTCAATTCCAAGTTTGATGATAATTATCGTGACGATATTGAATTCTCTCTTCGTAATCGTAAAACCATCACCAACCTATTTTTTTCACACACGATCCTCATTATGTTTATTCAGATTCTGAAAACTTCTCATTCGTATTTCTCCAAGGAAACTTGTCGTAATTATGGATTTCTCGAACTAACTATATATCCTCATAAGTATCAGTCTGTTGAATAATATTCCTTCAAAATGAGTGGAACTAATGATATTTTTTCATTGGAATTTCTAATAAACAATAATGATGGCTAAAACTAGGTTGAAACACCATCTGATCACTTTGATTAGTACCTACATGGTTTTGTATTCAGAATGAAAAAAAGCTGTCAGAATATGTGAACACTTAAATCAGGACCGTAATTGAAACAACAAGTTGATGATGATTTTATGAATACGAAACGTTGCACAGAGAAATCAATATCACCATGTTGAATATCATCAAAAGTTGGTACAGTAAACTATTTTCACTTTTTCTGTATCTTCAATATAACGTAGAAAATGAATAGATTTTTCAAAAATTAACTTTTTTCGATATAACTGCAAAAATATAAAAATTCTGAGAATTCCCGAAGTCTGTTGAATGCACAGCTTTTTTTCCATCCAACCCAATTCGTATCCTCCTACCGTTTCCGAGATCCCCGTGCTGTGAAACCTTATCTCGGTCACACTGAATAATTATTGTTTATTGTACCTACTGATGGTATTTTGTTCGAAAGAATTCTCAGTATAATTTCGGAATTCTCCAAATACCCAAACAAGTCTGAATGATTCCACACCTTTGCTTCAAATTATGTTTTCCTACAGATTGAAATTTTGAACATTTACTGAAAATTGATCCTGTCCTTTAATTAGTTAGTTGTATCAAGAAATTCATTGATAAAACCACTTATTGTTATTATTACTATTATCATTATTTGAACATTATCACAGTAACTAATAAGGATTTGGATTTATTCTTCATCTATTTCATTGAACCTAAAAAATCAAGCTAGTTGGTCAGTTCTACCAAATTTCATTCCTTGGAACACTTCTTTCAACAGTTTTTCGCGGTTTCTACACAAGTGGTGGTAATATTTTGATAATTTTAACTAGATGCACGAATCACTGTTGCTATAGAAATTCCACTAGTGGACGAAGTCCACGAGTGAGATTTCTCAATAGCAACAATAATTATTTTTTGAACTCACGTCTCACATATATAACAGCAATCTATTGAAAAATATGGTGGAACCTCAGCCGTGGCACTTGATATCTCTAAGACATTCAATCGAGTCTGGCACCACGGACTCCTCGCCAAGCTTCCATCTCATGGCTTGCCTCCCCAGCTATGTTCTCTGCTAGCTAGTTTTCTCTCAAATAGGTCTCTCCATGTAGTGGTCGACGGAGTTTCATCTGACTCTCTCACCATGAATGCTGGTGTTCCGCAAGGATCAATTCTAGCACCAACACTATTTCTAATCCATATCAACGATTTGTTGGGAGCAACTTTATGTCCAGTACACAGCTTCACGGATGATAGTACCCTCCATACTGCCTTCTCTTCCAGGGCTCCAATACCAGCCAGGCAAATCAGAAACGAACGAGGGAGAAATGTTGTCAACATAAATATGAACTTGACAACAATTTTTGAATGGAGATCCAATATTTTGGTAGATTTCAATGCTAACAAAACACAAGGATGCCTTTTCTCTAGAAAAGCCGATCTCACTGTGCTAAACCTAAGCATGTCAGGACTAACCATACCCTTGAAGACATCTATTTCGATGCTTGGTTTTTACTATCAGGAATAACCTTCCTTGGGAAAATCACGTGAGATCAATTGCGAAAAGTGCATCCCAAAAACTTGGTTTTTTGTTTCGGGCCAGGAGCTATTCCACTTCCAGTCAGCTGCTGATGATCTATAAGGCACAGATCCGACCTGTCCTGGAATAATTTTCCTACATTTGGAGTGCAGCACCCAAACATACCCTGAAACTGTTGAATTCTGTCCAAAAAAGGGCGATTCATCTCGTGGGTGATGCCTCGCTCACAAACCCACTCACTTCTCTGGAACACCGGAGAAAAGTTGTCGATCTGGCTCTATTTTATAGATATTTTCATGGACGATGCTCTTCTGAAATATCAACAATTGTACCTCCCTTGGCAGTCCCCGCGGGATTAACCCGTCGAGTTGAGGCTTCGCACCTTTCGTGGTCACTTTGGAGACCTGCAGAAAATCTCTTTCCAAAGACTCGTTCATCCAACGAACAGCGAGGCTCTGGAACACATTGCCAAGGGAGGTGTTCCCCGAGACATATAACCTCCAGAAATTCAAGAAGAACACCAGTTCATACCTCACTTCCCTTGGTTCTCACGATGTTCTCTGAATATTACAGGATATCCCTTTTCGTGGGAACCAGAACATAAAAAAAATCGCATAATGCCTAGTGACACAACAGACCTGTTAGTCTAACAAATCAGCCTACTTTTTCAAACGAATATCCAAACTTGAAAAAATAGTCGCTGTAATTTGCTACTAACATCTACTAACAAATCATCAGTATGATACCAGATGATTGGCTAGAATTGAGCATTGATATTGGTTGAAACAACGAAAACGTCACATTTTGACATGTGAAAAAAATAATCTTCCTAATCTTTTCGCGCTGAGGCCGTTGGTAGGATATTTCCTTTTCAGTTCCGGATAACCTGGTATATAGCACCCTCAATATTGATCAGAAACATATATGTCGATTTTTATTACTTGATGGACTGTGGGTATTTTGAATTAATCAGGAAGTAATATATTTTCTCATTAGATAATCGACTGAAGCCCATCAAATACATTAATGCACTTATGTTATAATCCATATCGTGTTATGACTCCATTCTTTATAGATTGATCTGTGTAATGGATAATTGGTATACCTATAGGTATAGGAATGAATAACTACTGAGATTTATTAACCATGCATTCTGAAAGTAGGCCAGCATTGAAGGGCACAGTGAAATACTGTTTGCTTTTCCAGAAATAAACAAGGTTTCTGGATGGACGGATTAACTGAATGAATCTGTGTATTATCAGTAATACCTATATCTATTCTATAATTTCATGAAAACGAGAAAAATCATCATTAAAACATTGTTCAAATTTTCAGCAAAAAAATTTGCATTTATACCGATAGAAAGTGTGTTGACAAAATATGGAACACTTTTGATTGGAAATTAAAACTTACCATATTTGTTTATTGTCTTTTTCCTCGAAAACAGCAAACATATGAGATACATTTTTCTCATTGATTAACCCATTAGTGCATGAAGTTACTTTTTTTCAAATCTCTATATTCTGAAGATGTTGACTCATTCAAATATACCCAAAGAATGATAACTCATGACGAATAATTTTTTTTTACAACAGATTTTTTTTATATGACACGTCCATTTTAATGGACTCTATGCAAATTGGTTCATTGATGAAAGTGATCAGTAGGGAATTTCAGTATTCATTTTTATTCAAGTATACATATCCAGAACATGAAAATCTCAATAACATCATTCACAATATTATCAATAATAATAATAATGATAATAATAATGAAAATTATACATCATGATGACTTGATACGTTTTGAAGCATGTCTCAGATGCAGTCAGTCCTATTTTACATATAAAATTGCAATTTTGTGTATTCTACTGAATGGAATTCAGCTGATGGGTATATGGAAATGCATCATATCAAGAAATTATTTGGGATGATACTTCCAGACCTTTTTTCGGTGCTCCTCACACGATCTAGTGGAAGGAAATGTGAACCCGTTGAAGAAGAAGAGTCGAACAAGTGGATGGAGTCGTGCGTCTATAGTTGACGTGCTGCAGTATAACGTACAATCATTTGATGCTATAATATTCCTTTTCATAATGCAAAGATGTATATTATTTTCAATTTCATCAAAATCAGGATCAGAATAACGAAAGTCGCACGGCTGTTTGATAATTCCTTTAGAAATATGATTTATTATGGATTCACAGTTTCTAAATTCGAATAACTGCATTTCTGCCAACTCTTCTTCTGGAGGCAATATAATATATGAATATCTGTTGGTTGATCGATATCTGAGCCATTTTCCATATGTCTAAGAGGTGTTTACAAGAATGATCTACAAAAAAATCTTGATGACCGATATGCATACAGTCCATTATAATGGACACAACACAAAAGCAATATTTTGAGTGTCTTACAAAAAAAATAATTATTCGAATTACCTTATAGGTTCATAAACACATGCATATAATGAGATCTTGAGTGATAGGAAATTTTGAAATTCATTATACTCCGTCATAATAAATACTCACCCTCCTTGTCGGGTGCAATACAAATTGTTATCCATTTGATCACGTGCAGAATATTGTCGAGATACAAATTCATGAAATAGAAGCGATAGCTGTTTGTTGTTGAACTACACTTATAGTTCTGGCGCATGAAACATTCAATTCCTGCATGATTGACGTCACAAAAAATTAGACAAGGAGTGTCCATTATAAGACACATTATGCACTAATGGGTTAATACACGCCTATTTCGAGAACCAATGAGATTTTTCCAATTTCAAAAAAATCTACCAATCAACAGGCATTTTTGATTATAAAAAGCCTATAGCTTTCCCAATAGGTAACTGATGAAGAATAGGTATGCACATTGATTTTATTCGACACACTTATAAACGGTAGTAGATAATATCATCATTACCCAGGGACCAAGATGATATTCCGAGGCTTCAGCCGAGAGGTATAGGTCCCGTTGGTAATAGTATTCTTTACTGCCTAGGTGTATATTGAATCTTTTTTACCACTAGCGATATATTCCAATCATTATAGTTTTGTGAAACTAAAATATGGACCTATTGTCACTATGGAAAGCACTTCTGTTCAATTCTGATTAAAATCTAGTTGCCATGACCATGACAGCATATTTGCGAATCTCGTATTAAAACAGTGAATTCGGGTTACTTATAATGGAATGGAAGAAAACTACTACTTACTCCTTGAAATGGAGTGAATGGTGGTGGAAAAATGAATGAATGTTTAATTGAATGGAAGTTTTATTGTCATGCCATTACGACGAACAATCGATAATCAAGGGAGTGAAAAATTCGCAAGAGCTAGTCCTTGTTTCCATTTTTTTCGCCAAACAACAATAAAAGCTGAATTCAATATGAAATGTATTCATCATATGTAATGCCACAAGTAATACTATTTTTCCAGAAATATTCGGCGATTGTTACGACAGCTTATTGTTGCCGATAATTTCGCCGAATGACATTGTTTATCAAAACTTTCGAGCCGTAGGCGAGAAGTTTTGGAACAATGTCATGAGCGAAATTAAAGCAGCAAGCTGAAGTATGTCGCCATTGTCGCCAGTGTCGAATGTGGTACACTTTTTTCGTTGGTACAAAATGAAAATCTTGTCTGGCAACTCTCCAACACTGTTTCTTTATCTCGTTGACTATCCGAATCAGACGATGATGTCTCTGACTTCCTAACTATCATGAATGCATATGAATAATGCATGCCCAAAAACTTGATGAAAATGAAGAAAAATCAATGCAATTCAACATTTTGATTCTTATATATATATCCATTGAATATTTACAAATTCCCAGCGAGACAGAGGACAGGGTTAGATGTATTGATTTTTCATTGAATTAAGTATATTGACTATCTAAAATTTTCATGAAAAACCGGTTTCCAACTTGAGGAGGCTTCTATGAAAACATTTGATAGGAACTTGTTATCAATTTTTTTCAGGTTCTATCTGAATTAAAGAGATTCCTTACATGTTCCTGGAAAGTCTGTATAATCACTATAGTTCAATTTTGAAGCATTAGTTGTTTATGATGTAAATGGACCTCGAGATTTTAATTAATTTCCACGATGATTCTCGATTTGAAAGCATGTCGAGGCGCCAAATTTTCAACCAAACATTTTTATGGTATCCAGTGTCAAGTACCATTTCACCGACCTTCTCTAATAATGTGCTCACGCATTGCAACTTTCATATAGAGTTTATTTAACTTTCACCAGGTACCATTTCTCGTAGTTTCTGATTTGCTTTCGCGAAGGAAAGAAGTATTTGAAGACTATAGTGCATAGTACCGGTATTCATCAAGATGATTGTGTATACTTATGCGATTTATTTGAAGTATTTGGCTTTGGCTGTAGTCGTAGCTAGTTTACCATTCATCGCGTTGATTGCTCTGAAGATTTTCCAGAAACTCACTGCTGGAAGAGTGAGCAGTTTGGTCTGTTTAAAGGGAAAAACAGCTATTGTGACCGGAGGAAGCTCAGGTAATTCAAAATATTTCTTCTTTTCACGGTTATTATTAATAGAGTTCACACATTTCTATAAAATAGACATAGAAACTGATATCTGGGCGTCAATTGAAACGTTAATAGTGAAATTTGGCATCAAGTTTGACTTCTCGTAATTTCTAAAATATTGAACGAATTCTGAATTGCCGCCCAGATTCTGAATGCCTATTTCATCGTCTTTCGAACCATTCCTTACAGCTTCTTCTAAATTGATCAGGACCCGTGATACAGGGTGAAACAAAGTTTCGTGCATTTTGAAGAAAATTTCTCCGCCCCCCCCATTTTGTCGGAAGACCACGATGCTCATATTTCATTCGGGCATTTCATAAATAGCAACCATACCTCGGGACGTTTTCGAGTTTTTGCCAAAAACTACTGTGGTTTCCGAAAAAAAAATTTTTTTTTATTTTTTTTCAAATGGACTGATTACCTGTATCCTCAAAACGATGAATCAGTCTATTTGTTGTCATGACTGACCTATTGAAAATTGTACTCAAGTTGAAATATTTGCATATACTAGGTGGCTACGGAAGTATTGCCTACGGAATATCTCAGTTATTGTATAAAGTAGGTTTGTGAAATTTGGAGCGTCGATATAATGACATGAGAGCTAGAATTTAAGCATATTGACATGTTGAAGTTAACTTTCGGTCTGACCGCAAGTAACATCAACTTTCTTATTTCAAATGGAAACCCTATTTTTTTTTCTTTTCGCTTCATTCAGCATTCAATTCCATTTCTAATGACATATCACAAGTTGGTATCTAACCAGAAACTAGATCAGAAAAATATTATCATTGAAAGTCACCGAGTAGGCAGTGGAAGCAAAATGAAAGCCAAAAATTGAAGAGTTGGCTATGGAAACCATGCGTCACTTGATAACAGTTGCTACTACTGTGGAAAAGTTGTATGTTCCTATTCAAGTTATGGACCTACAGAGTATTGTTTTTTCCCAATTTTTCCAATATTTTTTTTGACATCTTTTTATAACGCCGACGAATGAAAATAAAATATCACAGTAGTAGCAACTGTTATCAAGTGACGTATGGTTTCCATAGCCAACTTTTCAAATTTTGGCTTTTATTTTGCTTCCACGGCCTACTCGGTGAATTTCAATAATAATTTTTTTCTGATCAAGTTTCTGAGTAGATACCAACTTGTGATATGTCATTAAAAAGGGAATTGAATGCTGAATAAAGCGAAAAGAAAAAAAATAGGGTTTCTATTTAAATTAGAAAGTTGATGTTACTTCCGGTCAGACCGGAAGTTAACTTCGGCATGTCAATATGCTCAAATTCTAGTTCTTATGTCATTATATCGACGCTCCAAATTTCACAAACCTACTTCATACAATAACTGAGATATTGCGTAGGCAATACTTCCGTAGCCACCCGGTATACGAATAGCTCTGAGACTTCGTAGATACACTGAAGTGATTAGCATTGATAGACTGTCATAGGATTTCAATCGATATGAAGGGTGGTAATTATATTGATAGCAAAATCGATCACTTTTTTTTACAGTAATCTACTTATCAGGTTTCAATACATTTCTCAATTCTACTATTCAATCTCGAAATCTTGACTCTCCTGATTACTTTTGATATTCCGTTTGATCTGCAAGATATTTGATATTTTTTATTATTGTACGTAATTCAAACTCACTTGGGTAAATTAAGTAAAAAAGCGAGATGTCCAATTTTTGTTCTCGAAAACGAAGCTAGATACGAAGGAAACACAAAAGACCAAAAAGTTGTATTTTTAGTTGGTCAATTTAATAAATAGAGAAGTACGAAACATTCGGTTGCAGTTTTTTCTCAATATTATTGGCTGTGGCCACTGGACCTAATAATTCCAATCTAGTTAGGGCTAATCAGCGCCTCATCACTTCAAATAAATGTACCAAATTTCAACCAAATCAGTTCAGGGATATTTATAAATACCTTCTTTTTTCAACCTCAACGCCCTATATCTCAGAAACACATCAACTCCGAACATACATTCACCTGATTCTTTTTCTTTAAACGACCTAACTAATCATTTCCTGAAGTTTCGCACCGTAGTTGGGAAACACCCTGTATAAAACAAATATTAGGTACCTACTAAAGATGTGAGAATAAACATTTATTTTCCTTTGACTGTATGGGGAGCAGCCCAAAACGTATGTCAGTCATTACCTGAGTGTTTTGTTTCCAAAGTAGACTCGAAAATTCGATCCAAATAAATTAGTGATAGTCATATTCTGATCCAGAATTTTACAATATACAAGGTGAAAAATTGAAACCAGAGATATTTCCTGATGTCAAACTGAAAGTGACTGTTAACTGAAAACTGAAAAATATGCGAAAATGTTCCTCTTCACATTTCATATATCCATTGATACACCGAATATTCTAGAAGTTATGGCTTGTCTAATTGATTCGTTGACGCACCCAGTATATCGTGTAGAATTTTCACTCTCAAAGATGAACTGCTGGAAATCGTTATCATTTGATAACTCCGAGTTGATGAAATCAGTAGGTTGAGGTGAGGATTTTTTGTTTGTTGAGATAGTATATCTATCCCTTTAGTTTAGTTTGCTAGTATCTTTCACCTCTCAAAATTGATTTATATAAAAACTGGACCATCCTCATGTAGGTACAGGCTCTCCATAAAACAACAGGATCTGATACCTAAATGATTTTTTCTTGTTGAAATATTTGGAATACTTATTCAATATCTTAAAAAAAGAAAAATCGGGAACATGATTAATTAATAAGGATTTTTCTCAATTCCTCCACTTGGAATATGGAAACACTTTAGTATATGGATTAGGCAGTTGTTATTTTCTGCTGTAGGTAACTTGTTTCATGGTATGTTTTGATTCACCATGTTACTCATTTTTTGTTATTGATGGACATGTGAATTAGCCCATTCGATATACATAGGTATACGTAATACTCACTGAAAACATTCAACTAAGTACTTATGACCAGTTTCTAGTTCGTTTCATTGAGTTATTTCAATGTCATTGATTCCGAGGAAAAAAACACAAATTAGACATCTTGATCAGTGAAAGTTACAAATTGGAAAGGCATGCCCAATTATTATTATTTACTGTGGATATAGTATACCTAATTATAGTTTTGTGAGGTTATTCAAGACTGAACATAATAATTGGTTAGGAGTTTTGTCAATACGATTACATTTTTTTTGTGTTGAAGTTGTATGGGACATTGACTACCTACTGATTTTTGGCATCCATCAATCCCATATATCCAGGTAAACATGTTACTTATAATAAAATTATTGATGTCTCCACTACGCGATTCATTCATTATTGTGTGAAGATGTTCAGGATGTTAATTTTCAAGATGAAATAATGCCTCATATAGATTTTAGTGATGTAATTTTAATCACAAAGAGGAAATGAAATGATAAATCGAACTCGATAGTTTTCGAGATTGCGAGAAAAATAGCGCACAAAACTTGTTGAACATTGCATTTTCTGCACTCCTAGCAGTCTCGCTGTAATCGTCTAGCCACTCTCCTCACACTAGTATAGTGATTCAATACACTATTATTCCACAGGCATAGGACTGGAAACAGCCTTATTCGTAGCCTCCAAGACAAAAGCGAGGATACTCTCTGAAACTCGAAGCGACTCGACCTAATGTCTCAGCAGTCGCTGCGCAAGTTTTCACAATCGGTTAACTAACACTATAGCTTGGGCGTTTTCATTCAGTTAACCTGTATTGATATTTTTCGAGATTGCAAGAAATATATCGAACAAAACTTGTTGAACAGTGCATTTCCTGCGCTCCTTACCGTCTCGCTGTAATCGTCTGGTCACTCTCCTCACACTAGTGATTCGATACACCATTATTCCACAGGCATAGGACTGGAAACAGCCTTATTCCTGGCCTCCAGAGGCTGCAGGGCCATCATCACCGATAGACGCAACTCCTCCAAGGCAAAAGCGAGGATACTCTCTGAAATGAACAACGCTGACGTCACGACAAAGCGACTCGACCTAATGTCTCAGCAGTCGCATCGCAAGTTTTCACTATCGGTTGATTGATGGCGGCACTATGGCTTAGGCAGGGTCATCATCGCCGACAGGCGCGACTCCTTCAAGGCAAAAGCGAGGATCATCTCCGAGACGAACAACTCTGACATCCTGACGAAGCGACTCGACCTAACGTCTATGCAGTCGCTGCACAAGTTTTCACAATCGGGTTGATATTGCGGCACTATGGCTTGGGCGTTTTCTTTCATCAGAACTGTATCAATATTCCTTGAGATTGCAAGAAAAATAGCGTACCAAACTTGTTGAACAGTGCATTTCCTGCACTCCTAGCAGTCTCGCTGTAATCGTCTAGCCACTCTCCTTACACTAGTGATCTAATACACCATTATTCTACATGCAGGCATAGGACTGGAAACAGCCTTATTCCTGGCCTCCAGAGGCTGCAGGGTTATCATTGCTGACAGGCGCGACTCCTCCAAGGCCAAAGCGAGGATCATCGCCGAGACGAACAACTCTGACATCGAAACGAAGCGCCTCGACCTAACGTCCCTGCAGTCGGTGAGGAAGTTCGCCGAAGACGTTAAGGAGAGCGAGGAGAGGCTGGATATTTTGATCAACAACGCGGGGGTGGGCAGCGTGGGGAACAAGCATACTGACGATGGGCTGCACGCTACCATGCAGATCAATCATTTTGGGCCATTTTTGCTGACGCATTTGCTCTCAGGTGAGATAAATATAGAGCTGAAGCAGGTATTTCCTAGTCTGTAGTAGAAGTCCATGGTATCTCAAAGTGGGGTAAATCGATGAAGTAGTAGTGAAACACCCGGTCATCTCTACAATTCTTTGATAAAAATATAGGCGATTTCAGGACATATTTTGAACCTATATAGATTCATCATAACATCAGCTGTAAGGTATCAATTCTACATCGAATGAAGTAGTGAAAAATCAACAAATATCACATGGAAGTGATTACTCACATGTAGAAGAAAAAGTCACACATCTAAACTATAATAACGTTGAAAGGAAAATATTTCAATTGCTATCAAAGAATTAAGGAAAATTTTAGTTTGAATTTAACTATGCTATAACACGCTACAAAGTGATCAAGAGCAAGAAACCTTACAAGACCAGGTATCTTCTTCTTCTTCTTCTCTTCTTCTTCGTATTCTGCACAATTCAATAAAATGCATGAATTGCTTCTCATACATTTTCTTCAGATTTCGTTGGCAATAACTCCAAATTCGCATCTGTAGCTCAAGTTCTTGTGGAAGTTCTTCATCAGATAAATAATCTATTCTGGTAATTTCACTGAATCAAAAGTTCTATGTATAATTAACGCTTTGCACACTGAATATTGTGAAGAAATATCCAAACTTTGATTAGTAGTTGTGATTTTCCCTCAATCAATGTTATGTAGAAAAATGACTGCTGATGGCAAAAATGGACAAAATGTGGAAGCATTCATACTTTCGCAAAGCCTTCCCTTATTGTTCCTAATTATTTCCAAAAATGCTAACGGACACATGCTGTATCAGGAGAACCGTTTACTGCACAGGTTTTAAGAAATCAATATTTGTTAGAACTACGAGAAATCTTCAAGTTTTTGAGACGGTCGCTAGGAGGCGTAATCAGTTTGTTCAGTTGAAACAACAGATTTTCATAAAAAGTTGATACATTGAGTGATGCCAAGAACACTTTTTCATAATTTTGAGTTGATTCCTTATATAATTCCGATTGGAAAACTTGATCATTCGTTGATATAGACACCTACAAACTATTATTTACTTAATTTCACCTCACACATTCCATATTGACTAACGGTAGTTTTATAAATTGAAAACTTCGGGTTACTAAAACTGAGCACCTATGAGAAAAACGGAGTCTCATCAGGATAGTGGGAAGTAGTACATTGGCATGCTTCCTATACTAACGTTTCCTGATAAGTGAAAGTTAATAAAAACATTATCAATATTTGATGAACATGTTATGGTAGATAGAGAAAGTTATCAGCCTCCGAACATAGATCATTCATCTTTTCATAGTTCATAGGTAGGTTATAGGCATAGCAGGTACCTACGCTGTTTGTTCATACATCTGGGCGAGTCTCACTCTGCTTGTCGTATAATAATTCGCTTCTGGAACCAATAATGTATCGCCATTGGCAATTTTTGTATCTATGACTATTCTTCATCCAAAATAATCTCCTGCAATAATCAAAGTAAAAACCTTGTGACAGTGAACTAGTTCGGGATATTATTACTTTAAAATAATGTAATGAAATATTTCACTGGAACAGCCCATTATAAGAAAAGAACTTCAAATTAGTTCCATATTATAGGTACAATTATGCGATTTGCCATTCTACTAATCCAGGTTATGAGTGCATATCATGATCATGTTAAAAATGTATGCATCCATGATTACTATATGAAGATGGAACAGCAGACAAATACTGTTTGATGTTTTCGATATCATAATTGATCTCTTCAAGATCCATCATAACTAATTGGCTTTTATATACCTATATGTAGAAATATCAGTGGCGTTTCCAGAAGTGTACCTTGGTACAACAATAATTTTGAGCATTACAAAATAAAATCTGAGCATCTTGGCTTTTGATTTCCAAACATTCATTCAAATGTTTCTATCACATTTCGATTCCGGCTTTGATAATAATTTCAAGAATATCAGGAATATCAGTAGATATACGTACAACTGATACTGCGCCTTTAAAAATAAATCAAATTCCTTCTGAATGGATGTGTTCCTGAGATTCAAAATTCTCATTGGCAGAAATAAATAGATGCGGAATTTTCATTCAGCTGTAACGAAACATCTCGCAAACGCAGTTATTTGACATGACAATCACAATAACTGTTTTTTCTCTTATTCATTGTTCGTTTCGTGATTTGATGGCATTCAGATTGTTTCGAATTTGAAGCTCAGAATGGGCGGAAACTAATGTAAAATGGAAAATGATGTATTGAAAGTGTTATTGGAGTCCGTGTCTCCAGATCCAGAAGTTCTAGCAGTTCTTCTGGTTTCTCGGATTTCATCCGAGGATGAAATATTGTATATGTTGGGGAGTAGACGAGATAGGTTGAAAATTCTCAACAACCTATACAAAACATTGCATTGAATTATGATGATATGGATAGAGTCATCAATTAGAATTCTCTGTTGGTACTCAAGTTTCCTGAATGTTTACACTAATTTCTTGAAATTCATGTTGGGAATGAAAAAGTACCTACCACTCCAGATTTCTTCAATTTCTGTTCGTGTCAATAATGCAACTTTTCTTTTGATTGCATAATTATGCTAGGCTGATTTTGATTAATTCCTCCATATTTTTTCTTAGGCAAATGGCGAACAGCTTTGAAATCGAATATTTTGTTCTTAGTTTTTGGAGGTTATGCTGTCGCTGTCATTTCGAAAGCCACCAATATTCGTCCACCATCTCTCTACGTCGGTGGAATGGTTTGCAATTTTGGTTGACATAACAGTAATAAATGAATGCGTATGGTTACGTCAAACTGGAATATATAAATGGAATATATATGGAAGAATATATGAACGCAGTTGGTGGATTGATGAAGCCACCGGTGTATGAAAGAACGTCTCTCAGATGTTGAAGTCACTCTGTCATCATCGTTGATTTGAGCAGGCGTTCTCACGCTAGTCTCACACAAAGACCGACGACACGAAATCCTTATAGATTTGAAGACATAATACGTGAAAAAAAGTGGTGTCTTTCTATCGGCATATGGGAGGGGATGTATCCCCCTTATCCTCCCCCGTAGGTACGCCACTGGAGATATGATTCACAGGTGGTGACAAGTGACAACATCTATTCTTTATGAAACAAGCCACAGTTTCCAGAAATTCAAGGTTATGGAGTTAAAACTGACCAGGTTTTTTAAAACAATTTTACCACGGATTTTTTTGTCTGTCATTTCGCAATTGGCTTTTCAAATAAATGGATCCAATGTTCAATCTCTCTCGATTTTTTCATTTTAAAATCTTACAGTTTTGCTCTGTCTGCCAGCACATAAGCCATCATACAGATTGTCTGCCAACAACTTCCCGCGTTTCCCAATAATTAATAAAAGCTTTTTCATAATTGTAACCCATGTATCTCATTGAAATTTTAATATCGAAATTTGACTTATTTGAATGTCCGCCCCCGCCACAGGGCTGCGCTGATAGACAACCCGATTTGAATTTTGCTACACAAAGGGATCTTTTCAAACTAGGATTCAGCCATGTATCGATGACAAACTTTTATAGGTAGCCAGCTCTTAGACTATTATCAGTTTCAGTATGGAAAAGCAAGTGAATTGGTCAAAAAATGTGAATTCGACAAAACACAACCTCCAAATTCCGCTTCTCAATCTCCATTAATGAAGAACTTTTAGGGGTGTGCCACTTCAGAGAATCACCCGGTGTGTGATTGTACTCAGAGCTGGGCAAACACTCTGAAAAAAGTATTCAAATATTAAGTATTGAATACTTGAGAATATTGAAAATATTTCTGAAGGCCAAGAAGTATTTCAATAACAAATACAATAGTATTTGAATCGTCCACAGTGATTATTTGAATATTTCAAGAAGATTTAAATTCCTTTGAGTATTTGAAATTCTCAAAAGTATTTAAATATTCTCAAAATATTTAAATATTCCCATTGCAATCAAATACTCTCGAAGTATTTAAATACATTTATAGTATTTGAATATTTTAGACGTTTTCAAATACCCTTTTCTGGGTATTTCAATACTCTAGAAGTTTTCAAATACTTCAAAAATAATTATATGCTCTTGATATATTCAAATACTTTGGGGTATTTAAATACTCTGGAGTATTCGAATATTTCTGATATCTTTAAATACTTTACTAAACTATTTGCGAATACTTAGTTATAAATGAATTTCGACGAATATTTGTGAGTATAAATATACATATAATTACCTGAACAAGAAAGTATCTGAAAACTCGGTATTCAAATACTCACTAGTAATTAAATACTAGAAAGTATTTGTGAGTACAAATAATGCCCAGCTCTGAATTTGTACTCTATTATCGCGAAAGTCAGATAACATCGCAAACGTCATAGATGAATACTTCCGGTTCTTCAAGTTATGACGATAGCGACTGACAGGATTCAGATGATGAGATTAGATCAATGATTAGCTAAAGTTGGATACGCACATGTTTAATTGATTTTTTTCTTATCGACAACAATGTATTCTTTCGTCATCTATTACCGCGATTTCATTCATCGCTACGAACCAGGGCCTACTGTATTACGAACTCGGAGCCAATTTGCATATTACAATTCTCTTTCAGATTTATTGAAGAAATCAGCACCAAGTCGCATCATCTTCGTCGGTTCGGCCCTCGCCTTCTGCAGCAACCTCACCGCCGAAACCCTCAACTACCCTCAAGGGCATCCCCTCTCCCTCTTCCGCACCACCATGATCTACGCCAACTCGAAACTGGCCAACGTTATCACCGCCAACGGGTTCGCTGAGCGGCTGAAGGAGTACGGAGTTACGAGCAACTCCTTGCATCCCGGACTCGTCAACTCCGAGATCTTCTCGGCGTCTGCCAAATATTTGGGGCTGGAGACCATAGCGAGGGTGTTCAGGAGCATTGTTCTACTCGCATATGGAAAGGTATGCCAGTAAATGGAGTGGTGAAATTTTTTTTTATGTTCTGGTTCTTACTAAAAGGTTACATCGTGAGAACCAAGAGAAATAAGGTAGGAATTGGTGTTCTTCTCAAAATTCTGGAGGTTATATGGCTTGGGGAACACCTCCCTTGGCAATGTGTTCTAGAGCATCGCTGTTCGTTGGATATACGAGTCTTTGGAAAAAGATGTTCTGCAGGTCTCCAAAGTGACCACGAAGGGGTGCGAAGACTCAACTCGACGGGTTAATCTCGCGAGGACTGCCAAGGAAGGAACAATTGAGTGAGTTTGTGAGCGAGGCATCACCCACGAGACGAATTGCCTTTTTTTGGACAAAATCCAACAGTTTCAGGGTATGTTTGGGTGCTGCACTCCAAATATGGGAACAGTATTCCAGGACAGGTCGGACCTGTGCCTTATATTTCATGAGCAGCTGACTGGAAGTGAAATAGCTCCTGGCCCGAAACAGAAAACCAAATTTTTGGGATGCACTTTTAGCAATTGATCTCACGTGATTTTCCCAAAGAAGGTTAGTGCTGATAGTAATACCAAGCATTGAAATGGATGTCTTCAAATGTATGGTTACTCCTGAGAAGCTTATATGTTGGGCACAGTGAGATCGGCTTTTCTAGAGAAAAGACATGCTTGTGTTTTGTTTGCATTGAATTCTACCAAGTTATTGGATCCCCATTTGAGAATTGTTGCCAAATCCATATTCATGTTGTCAACATTTCTCCCTCGTTCGTTTCTGATTTGGTCAATAGAAACCTATGACCCATCTTTCTGTTCATCTAAGGAATATCTGAGAATGTTTTCGACTAAATATAGTCCAGTATTGATCCAAAATCGAAATAAATCGAAGGGGCAGAGTGCCTACAGCTCTGAGGGAGCTTCAATAGAGGTATAACCACCTGGTCATCCAGAAGAACAGTTGTTTGATGACCAGGTGACTAAGGAGGGTCCCCAGGTCAAGCATAGACTGAGACAACAACACTTACAAGAACCACAAGAAAATAGACATCAAGTGGCATCCACAACGTTCAAAAAAGCATCTGCTGCAAGTCATTAAATTAGTTGCGAGAAAATCGGCTGCCAGATACTTGACGATCCCTTGGGGAAAAGTATGTCGGAAATTCGGTAAATGGGGTGTTGAAATGATCAATAGGAACATAGAAATGGAAGAAGGTTTAGGCATATAAACCTACTCATAATGGCGCCCCGGTAACAAGGTGTTATCATTTATAGTCAATATAAGTATGTACTTTGCGACCCAGTTAAGGTTGCCAACAAAATGGTAGGAGAAATATATCTGGTTCAAAAGAAAGAAATTGCGCATTCAGAGGGTCATTTCAGCAGATGTCATCGCTGCCAACGGTTTCACGGAACGACTAAAAGAGTACGGAAATACGCGTAACTCCTTGCATGCTGGGCTCGTCAACTCCGAGATCTTCTAGGCGACCGCCAAGTACTTGGGGCTGGCGACCATAGCGAGGAATATTGTTCTCCTCGTTTATGGAAAGGTATACATACATTGTACAGGGTGTCCCAAAACTCGAAGTCGTCCTTTGAAGGGCTGATAGTCCAGCTCACGACTGACCAGAATATCAAAATATGACCCCAGTGAAATATTGATAGTTTTGGAGATATTGGCATTTTTTGAGTGCCGCAGGTACAAAACTGAATACCTCAAGATTCAAATTTTTTTATGCAACCTGTAATATCCTTTCTATTGATAACTATCCAAGATAAAAATATGTGTGCCCGATTCACTAGTTGATTTATTTTTTATTTATTTCAATTAGAATTGTAATCAATAGATAGAAGTGTTATTACTTACTGGTTGCATAATAAAACATAGAATCAAAATCTATGAAGTTTTGTATCTGCGGCGCTCGAAATACTGATCAAAGGTTTTTATTTTCACGAAATTCCAATATCTCCGGAACTATCAATAATTTAGTGAGTATGACAAGTTCTTTCAGTAGAATAGGAATACAATTTGTTCCTCATATTTCCAATATTTTGTCATTTAATCACAAATGGTTTCAAAAATATTTAGGGCTCCCTTATACTATAGGGTCAATTTCTGGACCCATGGTTGTAAAAACTTTTTTCACTATTTTTGTTCCAAGAATCTGCAGTTGTAATGTTTCTATGTAATTCGGTTCCTATATACCCACTACAAAACATCTTGTCACTGTAACAACAGTTTTGTTCCCACGACAACATTTTTGTTACTCGTACAAACATTTAGTCATCAACAAATTATTCGACTGAATGAATGGTGACAAAAATGTTGTTATGGTGACAATTTCACTCATTCATGTCTTGAAAATCCCATAAGCCGCTGTGATTTTGTCATTATGACAGCAATAATAAACCTGGCCCTAAGTTTTCTAGCCACAAAACGTCCTACGGATTCGTAATTTTTTCGATGGCAATTTTTTTTCAATCAATTTCCAGGGAAACAAGATTCTCATTGAAATTTCTGGTTAACTGCGACAAAAAAAGCTTCCGTCTAATTATCAGTGACAAGATTGTTTTATCTTGGATATAGGATAGAATGTTTTGTTGATTTGATCAATCTTTTTTCTCCTCTATTTCAAATAGACGATATATCAATTCTAATTCGTCTTGTATAGCTATAATCAAACGTTTTCACTTTCAGAGTACTGAAGAGGGTGCCCAAACAACGATCCATCTCGCTCTCGCAAACGAACTGAAGGAAGTCACCGGAAAACACTTCTGGGACTGTATAATGTTTCCACAACCTCCTGGAGCTTGGAACAAGAAATTTTGCGATGACATTTGGGAAGCTAGTGAGAAGTTGGTCCAGCTCAAACCAGAAGAGAAACTGAGCGTCTGCTAATGTTAAAGTTTCGATGTGTGAACTGATTCGTTATATTTCTGTTATGAATGTTATTTGTAGAATATTGTAGATGATATTATCATTCCATTCAGATCATATTCAGTGATCTCCTGTGTTATAATAAGGTATAGAGCCCAGGAATAAATTGTTGATTTGTTTTTTTCAAAATGTTTTATTCATCAATCGATTCAATCAATATTTCTATAAATATATGTAACTTATTCAGTTCAATTTCACCAGTAAGGTATCACAAGAAGATGCCGATGCGGAGTAAAATAAAATTACCATCAGCTGTTATACATACAGGGTGAGTCGAGAATGTGTACCATGCTTTCTGGAGGTGATAGTACATTGAAAAAAAGTATAGTTCGATGAATAAATAAATGGCCCAAAATGTATATTAAGGGATATGCTTGCATAAAAATCCTTCCGCGAGGTTGATAGAATTCAAATGATTTTTCCACATAACTTCTGAATGATAGAAGCCATCAGATTGAACTTTCCTGAATCAATAATGTATGCTGATAAAATACATTTTCTGATATACCTTTACATTCCTGATATTCCATCTACGAAATAGCTAAAATACTCAAAGTGGAATGAGATGTTAAATAAATACAAAAACTCAAAGTAATGTCCACAAATGTTGATAAAATTAACAACAATGGTAAATGACGGGAGAAAAACGACTACTTTCCTGGCTAATATCACTCAGAACATTGAATTACATCTTTCCAAAATCGCATCGATTCATATAAACGGAACGAGCAAGTGTTTCTTCAGGGTCATTTTCCTTGAGATACATTTTTTTCAAATTTTCAGTGTACGATGACTAGGAAAAAGTCACAGGGAGTTAGGAGTTAGAAGGACAGAAAACATGTTTTTTTGTAAATAGGAAAGACAGAAACAAAGAAATGTACAGTTGTATAATAAAAAATTGTCGATGGTGTAACAATTTTTCTCGACAAGGCTTCTTTTCAGAGCAGATTTGAAAATATTTATGTTAGGTTCGTCTAACTTATCAAATAATTTAGGTCCTAGATAGAGATGACTTTTTTGATAGATAGGGGTTCGATGTGCATTGGGTAATAATGAATCTTTCGAACGAGCTTGTTGTTTGGATGAGAACATAGGTCTGTTTTTAAAAACGTAGATGCAGACTTGGTAAATATATAAACCAGCAACCGTGAGTACTTCAAGCTTTTTGAAAGTACTTTTACAAGACTGCCATCCCAAACCAGCAATGATATACGAATGGTATCTGAGAAGATGATTGTTACATTTGAAATTACATTAAATGTATATTGAACACCAAATCAAAATGCATGTTCAACCATCTGAGGCGATCCATCTTACAGTGGAGTGAAGACAATAGGACAGGACGAAATTCATACAGTCTACTCCACCAAAGGTGAGTTTTCTCAATCCTGTAGGTGTTTGAAGCGTTTGTCTGACATTGCTCTCTGTTCTTCTCTTACTTTAGGGCTCCTATGCAACTAAACGCTGATGATGAAGTTTCAAAGCTTCGAAACATGTAAGTTTGCTTACAATAGAGTATAGTTTTGGTGAAGTAGACTCTATGAATTTCGTCCTGTCCAGAAATTAATGCATACCTTAGGCTTTAAAATTACTTTTTGATTTTATGCAAACCTCAAACTTACTAAAACCAAAACGAGGGATCACAAGTTGCATTTTGAAAAAGCATGTTGAAGGTTTCGTCAGCTACACAATTATTTGTATATGCTACTTTGAAGTTGGAAACCAACTTTTCAGATGTTGAAACTTGTGCGAGGCTAAAAAGAACGGGACCTACAGCTTATAGAGACTCCTGAGGCACTTCTAGGGCACCGAGGTGCTGTTAAAATTTCAACCGAGAATCACGAATTTTTTTAAAAAATTTTTAGTCAAGCCGGATCCGAAACGACAACACCTTGGCACCATAAACGCGAACTTGAGCGCCTTCGATCGCTAGAATAAAATATGTACACTCATTAAAGCGCTGATTGAGAGAGCTGACACCGTCCATGTGCGACATGTTCTCTGGAGACGACTGTACCGTGCCATAAATATATTGAAACATTGACTTATTCCGGGGATTTTCCGAAAAGATATTCACCTTTCCGCTAGCGAATTTATTCCAGCTGATGTTTCCACCCTGTTCAAAGATACTATAGACTTGCAACAGCGAATGGGTTCGAAAAATTTTAATATTCGCATGTTTCCTATTGCTGGGTTTATAGACTCACTTAAACTAACAACTAGGAATTAACAATCAACAATCAACGATTGATAATCATAAGGGATGTTCATACATATATTTTTTGTTCTGCTTCCCACGAAAAGGGAAATTCTGTAATGTTCAGGGAACATCGTGAGAACCAAGGAAAATAAGGTAGGAATTGGTGTTCTTCTCAAATTTCTGGAGGTTATATGCCTCGGGAAACACCTCCCTTGGCAATGTGTTCTAGAGCCTCGCTGTTCGTTGGATGAACGAGTCTTTGGAGGTCTCCAAAGTGAACACGAAGGGGTGCGAAGCCTCAACTCGATGGGTTAATCTCACGGGGACTGCCAAGGGAGGAACAATTGTTGATATTTCAGAAGAGCATCGTCCATTGAAGTATCTATAAAATAGAGCCAGATCGCCAACTTTTCTACGGTGTTCCAGAGAAGTGGGTGAGTTTATGAGCAAGGCATCACCTACGAGACGATTTGCCCTTGTTTGGATAGAATCCAATAGTTTCAGGGTATGTTTGGGTGCTGCACTCCGAATATGGGAACAGCATTCCAGGACAGGTCGGATCATAAGCAGCTGACTGGAAGTGAAATAACTCCTGGTCCGAAACAGAAAACGAAGTTTTTGGTATGCACTCTTAGCAATTGATCTCACGTGATTTTCCCAAGAAAGGGTATTGCTGATAGTAATACCAAGCATCGAAATAGATGTTTTCAATGGTATGGTTACTCCTGACAAGCTTATGTTGAACACAGTGAGATCGGCTAGAGAAAAGGCATGCTTGTGTTTTGTTCACATTGAAATCTACCAAGTTATTGGATCCCCATTCGAGAATTGTTGAGAAGTCCATATTTATGTTGTCAACATTTCTCCCTCGTTCGATTCTGATTTGCCTGGCTGGTATTGGAGCCCTGGAAGAGAAGGCGGTATGGAGGGTACTATCATTCGCGAAGCTGTGTACTGGACATGAAGTTGCTTTCAATAAATCGTTGATATGGAGTAGAAATTGTGTTGGGGCTAGAATTGTTCCTTGCGGAACACCAGCATTTATGATAAGAGAGTCAGATGAAACTGTCCTTTGATTAAAGATCAAAATGATGTTATGAAGAAAGGTCGGCGACCGGTCACTTTTCTATCGATACTTCCACGGGAAATGTTCTTCGGAAATCTCTGCTATCATCCCTTCACTAGCAATACCAATCAGACGAACTAGACAAGTTCAGTCAGCACATCCTCTCGTTGTCAACCTCTAAAGATGTCGAACAGCACTTTATCAAGACTCCTTCATCCATAGAACGGCTAGGCTCTGGAATTCATTGCCTGTGGAAGTATTCCCAGCAACATATAATCTCCAAAAGTGCGCTTCAAGCGATAAAAAAAAATGATTTTAGTCTATACCTGAATCCATAAAAAAATTAAATATCACCAAACTCCACTTGAACAATAACAAATCCAATCTTTATGTTCCGTCTCCAGAATTTCCTAATTCTTAGTTGTTAAGAAATTTAAGAAGAACACCAATTCCTACCTAATTTCCCTTTGTTCTCACGATGTTCTCTGTACATTACAGGATATCCATTTTCGTGGAAACCAGAATTTTTAAATGTATAAACCCTCAATTAGTTGTTTCCTTGTATTCAACTTTTCAAGTTCATAGTTGTTAGTTCAATTTTTGATTTAGTTGAATCTATTAACCCAGCCTATATGCTATCAGAGTTTCCTGCTGGGGTGATTCGATTTCTAACTAAAGATAATATACATTTTTCTCAGTGTAGTGTGTACACGACGTGGAGAAGGATGGAGTATGCAACACAAACTACACTTGCGCGTGATGGGTGTTGCGAATATCGACGGATTCAAGTTAATTTCCTTTTCGCTCGGAATCTTTTTGGCGGTTTGTGGCCGGATGGGGCTGATGTCTTCGTTTAGCGACCTTCTGGCTGCACGACCTAGACATTTGTTAAGGCCGACATGGGCTGCAACAGCCGATATTGTTTCAGTATTCAAAAGTGCGCGCGAGTGTCAACTAGAATTTTGATTGTTTTTTATTTTGGACATTCACACCTGACACGTACTAATAGCCGGTGAGTACGGTGCATGTACTTTTTTGGACGGTCATTGAGACGATATTCCATTCGTTTTACTGACTCCCAACATCGCTGATTGATTATCTTTTTAATCACAATATAGCATGTATAGAGTGAACGAGAATCAAGTTTCATTTTTGTCTTTTACATTTTTCAAATGGATGAAATATTGAAAATTATTTTACTTATATTCAATCAGGAATAATATAAACCCAGATTTTTAAACGTCCAATATTTCAAAAATCTGTACAGGGTGGCAAGTTATTGATGCCACTTTTTGTGAATAAGTGTCGAATAAATATTGTCGGAAGTTATATGGGTAGGTATAGGTATAGGTATAATAGGAAATTGCAGTCTTCCTTCCTTCAAGACATGATATATTATTTTGATAAAAAATCACTTTTATCGTTCAAATATACACAGGCAGATAGATCAAAAAACATTATTTTTTGCATATATTATTCTTTCTATTCAATTTGTATAATTTGCTTTACTCATTCAGAATTCGCAAAAATTTCCTTCGCAAATTCACCCTAACAACACAGGGATGTCCTATAGGTACGTCCCTTTCTTGTCCCGCGGTACAAGGACATGATTGGGACATCCAGGGGATGTCCTGCAGTGGTTGTCCAGTGGACATCCCGCCCGGTACATTCCTAGGTTATCCTATTCGTGTCCCTGGAGTATCTGATATCCATTCACATCAGAGTCATTGAATTTTATCAAACTATTGAGTTGAATTTTTTCGAAAATGTTTGTTTCTCTTCCGGAAAATGATTGTAATGATGAAAATAAAGAATAAAGTCTCAAAACTTT